ACCATCCAGTTGAACATCTTCTCATACACTGCCTTGGCCAGTGCCCCGATGGAGTAGTACACCTGCTGCACGCTCTGCCCCTTGGTGACGTACTCGTTGCCCACTTTCACCCGAGGGTGGCACAGCCCTTTGAGCAGGTCAGCTGAGTTCAGCCCCATGAGGTAGGCCGACTTGTCAGCATCTTGATGAGAGGGAAAGGAGTAAGTGAGCACTTTCTTTCTTTCTTTCTTTCTTTTTTTTTCTTTTTTAAGATAGAGTCTTGCTCTGTCACCCAGGCTGGAGTGCAGTGGCACGATCTTGGCTCACTACAGCCTCCACCTCCTGGGTTCAAGCAATTCTCCTGCCTCAGCCTCCCGAGTAGCTGGGACTACAGACGTGAGCCACCACGCCAGGCTAATTTTTGTATTGGTAGTAGAGACAGAGTTTCACCATGTTGCCCAGGCTGGTCTCAAACTCCTGACCTCAAGTGATCTGCCCACCTTGGCCTCGAAAAGTGCTGGGATTACAGGCATGAGCCACTGCACCTGGCCTGAGTGAGCATTTTCAATGAGTGAGCCTCCTTCTCTGCCCTGGGGCCAAGACTTTAGGAAGCATCAGGTCCAATTTCTTCTCCTTAAAGAGGAAGAAATCAAGGCCTGGAAGAGCACAGGGCTTGCTGTGGCTGCTCAACCAATGTGTGCCTGAGTCAGGCTGGAGCCCAGGCCCCCTTATCCAGCCCATGGTCTCTTGCCACAACCGGCTCTTAGCTCTCTCTCTCTACATCTCTGGCATCTCTGGGCCAGGTCTTTCGCAAGCACTGCTGTGGGCATATCGCCACCTTCACTGTGTCCCTCACCTCTCCAGGGCAGGGATGTGGCTGAGGGGCTAGATGTCCTCTGCTCCCTGTCTCCTTCGTTCTCTACCCCAATGTTTAGCCCTGGACTGGCCATGCTGTCCTCTCCATCCACATGTTACCGAATCTGACTGGCTGGGAGATCAAGACCCCCAAGAGTATATCAGACAGCACCATACGCCCACCCCCAGCCTTCCAAATGTGCCACCTAACATGGGGATTTCTCTATTTAGAGGAGTTATTTGGTGTAATTTCAAGAATGTTGTAATAACTGTTGGTATGTTATCATGAACCTCAGGTTGACATTTTGATCTGGGCAGACTTGGAGACGAGTCCCTGAAGGTAGGAAGGAATGTTCTTGGGCACCTATCTAACACTGTTTGCACCTTCACATTTTCTCAAAGGACCTCACAGTAGCCACCAGAGGAGTAAGTAAAGATCGTTGATCCATTTCACTGAGGAGGAAACTGATGCACGAATGCCCTAGGCTGTGTCCTGACCCCTGGCCCACTGCTTCCCAAATAGAACATGGTATGAGCCCACCAGGGGCTTACCCAGGGGCTGAGGAGCAAAGGCCCTGCATTAGTGATGGTGATGTGCAGAGCTCAGGGGCTGTGCTTCCTGGGGCTGGGCAAGTCTTGGGCACGGAGGAAAAATCCCCACCTCAGTTCTGGTGAGTGCAGGAGGTTGAGGAATTGGTGGGATTGCGGTGGACTCTCTGTCTGCCCACTTCTCCCACGTCCCTGTCCCTCACCATCCCTCAACACACCCCGCTGCCCCACAAGCCTCAGAATCTCTAGGATCTGAGTCCCTCGGAGAGCCTGGTCAGCACCTCCGGCCTTCCCAGTGCTGCCTGCCTGCCCCTCCCACCTTCAGTGCCATCTGGCTCCGCCTGCTCCTCCCGCTGCTTCTGCTTGAACTTCATGTTCCCGTAGTGCATGATGGCTCCCGTCAGCTTGTAGACGCCAGCTTTCTCCTCTGAAGTGAAGCCCAGCACGTCAAAGGCGCTCTGGGACAGAGCGAGAAGCAAAGAGAGGAGTTGGAGCAGTGGCCCCAGGAGCTCCTAGGGGCCCTTGAACGGCCGCAGCAGCCCCCTCACTCACATCGGTGGCCATGAGCTCCTCGGAGTCATCAATGGAGGCCACGGACACCTCTCCCTGAGACACGAAGGCGTAGTCGTAGGGGTTGTTGGTGACCAGCAGCATGTCTGCACCAGGCAAGGGGCGGGGCAGGGGCAAGGGGGCAGGTGGAGGGCAGGGAAGAGGCAGGGAGAGTTGGGAAAGGGAGGGAGGGGGCAAGGAGGGGTAAGGGATGGGGAGAATGGAGGAGGGGAGGACAGGGAGCAGGGAGAGAAAAGAAGTCAGCAAGGTCCAAGAGGGAACCCAGAGGAAGTAAAAGGGTAGAAGAGGGGCCCTGGCAGGGGCTCCAATAACAAGGAGGAGGGAGGGTGGCAGGGGAGTGACACATGGGAGATGGAGAGGCAAATAAAGAGAAGGCAAAGACAAGCCGAGGGAGGAGTGGAGAGAAGGGTGGAGAAGGAGTGAGGTGTGTGACTGCACAGGGAGGTGAGAGGAGATGCAGGTGATCTTGGGCGGGAAGGGAGACAGAACTGGCAGAGTGAGCAGAGGGAGGAGGGAAGTGAGCAGCAAGATGGGGGCACAGTGGGGAGCAGGAGGGCCCTGCCCTGCACACAGCTGGCTTGGGGAGGGCAGCAGGGACAGCAGTGGGTTGGGGGTGGCAGGCAGGCTCACCCAGCAACTCCGGCTTCTTGTTGGACAGAATCTGGTAGAAGATGTGGTAGTTTCTCTCAGCTTTCAGCTGGAAGATCACCCGGGACTTCTCCAGCAGGTCTGAGGTGGGCGGAGGGGAAGAAGGCAGGTGAGGAAAGAAAGAGACTAGAGCCAGAAGAAGGTGGCCATGGGGGCAGGGGTTACCCACAGCATGATGAAGAGGGCCAGGCGAGAAGACGTGGCTTAAACAAAAAGGATCCTAAAGCCCAGAGGCAAATGCAGACAAAGACAGGAGATGGCAGGAATGATGAGACTGGCCACCAGGCAGGGAGAGAAGGCAGAGGGGGACCTGGAGGGTGGCAGCCTCCCTGTTGGTACTCACAGGTCTCTATGTCCGCAGAAGCCAGCTTTCCAGTGGCCCCAAAGTGGATCCTAATGAATTTCCCCTGGGGAACGAATGGGACAGAGTAAGGGAACTGGTGGGAAGGACAGAATGAAATCCTGGACCTTTATTCAGCCCAGAAGTCCTGGATGGTTCTGGAAATGTAAACAACCTCTTTGGTGTCTCAGTTGAGTATAAGTGAAGCCGGGCAGAGGATGCCACCCTCACACAATGTGCAGGGACCTCCTAGTGGAACCTCGGCCCAGAGGGGAATGCACATGGAATGCCACCTGCTCGTACCCCTCATATGATCTCACCTAATCCTCCCAGTATTAGGTTTCACAGGTGAAGGAACTAGGGCTCAGAGAGGTGTGAGGACTTGCTGAGCAAGTGGAAAGTCAGGCCTTTGGCTTCAAAGCCTAAGCTCTCTTCCCACCAACATGTGCATGTTGATATCCCAAAGGCAGATACAGTACAATCAACTGGGTGTGGCAAAACAGCACCCCTTTTCTCTTGTCAAGGATGGATGAGGCCATTGGGAGTGGTCAAAGGCACTCACGAAGCGGGAGGAGTTGTCGTTCCGGACAGTCTTGGCGTTGCCGAAGGCCTCCAGAGCGGGATTGGCCTGGATGATCTGGTCCTCCAGGGTGCCCTATGAAAGGAACAGAACTACAAGGGTTCATCCTCCATCCACCTCCAGGCAGTGGTGAGAAGGCAGGGAGGCTGCCTTGGCCCTGAGGAATGGATGTTGGGGACTGGGTGAACCTCTGGTGGGTCTGCAACTCCGTAGGATCCTACCCAGACCTCAGGGTGAGTGTCTGCTGTCAGGAAGGTCTTCCACACTGGGCTGACCATCGGAAGTCCAGTTCAGTGTGGCTGTCCCCACCACGTCACAAGTAACTCGGGTCAGCCTGCCCCCCCACCCCTGTTCTGCAGAGCCTGTGGCCCCCATGGCACCTTGTTCGCATTGGCATTGTCCTTCTTGCCACGGTCACCTATGGCTGCAATGCTGGCAAAGTACTGGATGACACGCTTGGTGTTCACAGTCTTCCCCGCCCCGGATTCTCCCCTGGGGGCCACAGGAACCAATCAAAACTCAGAATTCCTACTGTTCTCCATACAGCATGCTTCCCTTCCCAGCCTGGCCATCAGAGCCCAGCACTCGGCAGGATATGCCTGTCATGGTTCATTGCTCTGGCTCCCCTCTAATAAGGGCTCAGTGCCCCATGCTCCCTGCAATGCCAGCCTTAAACCTCTCCTCCCAGCTACACCGCAGGCATCAGCCTGTATGCCCCCAGCCGAGTCCCTTCTGTGGGAGGATGGCACTTGCTCACGTGATGAGGATGGACTGGTTCTCCCGATCTGGAAGAAAAAAGAGGAGAAGCAATGGGGTGAGGGCTGAGGGTCTGGGTGGGTGTCCGGGAGGAGGGGCAGAGGCCAGGGGCCACCAGGCTCACCTGTCAGCATGTACTGATAGGCGTTGTCGGAGATGGAGAAGATGTGGGGCGGGGCCTCACTCCTCTTCTTGCCCCGGTAGGCGGCCACCACCTCAGCATTGTACACCGGCAGCCACTTGTAGGGGTTGACGGTGACACAGAAGAGGCCCGAGTAGGTCTGGAGCAGGAGACAAGGCTGGTCATGAGGTTGGTAGGGAGAACCTGGGACAGGTGGTGGTGGCAGCCAGGCAAGTCCCTGTTCACTTCAGCTGGCTCTACTCCTCCTGTGACTCACTAGGGGTGGAGTGGGGAAGGGGACTTGGGTCCCTTGGGAGAGTCCTCCCCCTTTCCTTGGGATAGCCTCCCTGGCTTATTTTGGCCTCCATGCAGGGCAGGAAAGTCTCTGCAGTGTGCAGGAGCCACTCACATATATCATCCAGGCCGCGTAGCGCTCCTTGAGGTTGAAAAGCACCGCGGGCTCGTGCAGGAAGGTCAGCATGGCCATGTCCTCGATCTTGTCGAACTTGGGTGGGTTCTGCTGCAACACCTGGTCCTCCTTCACAGTCACCGTCTGGAGGGGGCACGTAGGCAGGAGGATGGGTGACCACACTCCCTCTGGGACCCTTGCCGGCATTGCCCACTGACCTCCTCCCAGGACACAGGCCATGACTTAGCCTTGCTCCCCTTGCTCTGACCAGTGCCCCAGCCCCTACCCTCTATGTCCCCTGGGACACTTTCCCCAGATAATGTCTCTTCCCACTGTATCTCCCATCCTGAGACTGTCCTAGGATACCTGTCTCTTGCCAGATGCCCAGACCATCCTGGGGACACCCTGTGCCCATGACCATCACTCTTCAGTCCCTATGTTCCAAGGATCTTGGGGCAAACCTGGAGACTGGCAGCTCTCAGATGTGTGCACACCTTATGCTGACCCCAAGGCTGTCTCCCATGGGCAGTGCTCTAGAGTATCTGTTGCTCAGGGCAAACCTTCACCCCTGCTGGAAAAGCAGTTCACCCATCTACTCCACACTCCCCATCCATCACTGTTGGTGTGGTTTGATTGGCAGCAGTTTGCCATGCTCTGATGTCACTAGATCCTGCCAATAGGTATTCCAGTGTTTTTTATAGTGGAGAAATCCGTGGCTCTAAATGACTAAATGATTTGCCTGCACAGCGACTAGCGGATGGCAGAGCTGGGATCAGAGTCAAAAGCCCCAGGGGATTGTGGCCTGTTATTCTACACTTTAATGGGTTGTAACATTCAGTCAACAAGTTCATGAGACACACAGCCCTGAGCCACAGCTGGTAACCAGGGGTGATTCTCTTGGCTGGCATGAGCAAACCAGGGACCAGCAGCTTCTGAGTGCCAGTCAAGGATGGAGTGCTTAGCTCAAAAGTTTCTGATCTTTGTGTTCATCTGGGTCTAAGAATTTACTCTTGATTTGGTTGAACAGAATTTGAGAAAGTGGACCCACAGAGGAAACTGAGGCACAGGGAAGAGGGATACAAGTGCAACAAGGGGGCATCATTTAATGCTGTGTTTGTGCCCTCTTTATGTACAAGACCCCTCTGAGACAAACACTGAGGTCATTCTCCCTCAGCATCCTCTCTGGCAAGGGGCACATGGCCCTGGGTGGCACCTGTTGCACCTGCTTAGGTCAATTTGAGAGGGATTCTGGGCTCCTCAAAGGAGCATGTCCTGGCATCCCCACTGGCCTTGGTTTTTCTCCAGCCCTCTCAGTTCCCACTGCAAGTGGCTCTACCTCTGCATCTTCTTCCCCAGACCTCCTTCCCTTCCGCCCTGGCGCCATGCCCCACTCACCTTCCCATTCTCGGTTTCAGCAGTGACCTTGCCCCCTTCCCGGGACACAATCTTGGCTTTGACAAACTCTTCCTTGTCGTCCGGCACGAAACACTCAGTGCGAATGTCAAAGGGCCGGGTCTGGGCCTCTAGACGCTCCTTCTCTGACTTGCGGAGGTACTGGGCCGCTGCCCCAAAGTCAGCCATCTGGGCATCAGTCATCTTGGCGCTCCTCTGGGTCAGAGACAGGAGGGCTGTGTTACTCCTGAGGGGGCCCAGGCTCCAGCGAGTGACTTTGTCCTCTGCAGCCCCCCTCCCTGCACCTGCTCCTCTCCTCCACCCTGGGAGAGGCACCTGCTGTTGCACCCTCCCCGACTCAGGGCTCTGCTTCTCTTGCTCTCTGAGGTGACGCTGAAGGACAATCTCTGTAAGGGGTTTGCCTGGGGTGGCATTGGCTGGAGTTTGCTGAGGGGTGACGCTGAGTGCTTGGGACAGCAGAACCCTGGTGCAGCAATCTGGCTCTCAGGAGAAGCGTGCCCTGCTCTCTGCAGAGAAAATGGGGGAAGTTCTCACCTGGTTATCCCTTCACGGAGAATCCTGAAGAATCTGAACCGTGGGTGGAGCGAGGAACCACAGAGGTAGAGCCGGGCAGAAAGAACAGATGAGGAGACTGAAGAACAACAGAGGCAGGCCAACCGGGGATGGAGGCAGCCCCAGAGCACAAACAGGCAGGACAGACCAGGGAGTCAGAAAAAGAAAGACGCAGAGGCAGAAAAGAAAGGGCACCGAGTCAGTACTAGTGTGAGGGACCGGATGTGGAAACAGGGTTGGAAGCAGAGAGGCAGGGATGTGAGAACATGCCAAGAAGGAAGGGCAAGGGAGAGAGACAAAGAAGCTTGATTGTGACAAGTGTCGATGAAGACCAAGAGGCAAAATAAAACCAGGATCAAGGGAAGGAAGCCATCCAAAGGAGGAAGGAAGATGGAAAGATGGGAACAACATGTAGGAGACACAGAATGATGCAGAGAAAGAAATGGAGAGTCAGAGAAGAAAAGAGGTTTCTGGGTTTCCTGTGGAACCCCCTTGTGTCAGGGGGAACTTCCCTGGGCCTGGAGATAGGCAGTTTTAACAGAGCCCTTAGGCCTCCAACTGATCTGCACCCCACTCCTGGTGAAGGAGGTCCCTCACGGTGGGGGATCTATGGACAGGATACAGGGCATCCCACCCCAAACCTCCTCTTACCTGGGCTGGAGGAGTCTCTGTCTGTCCTCAAAGCTCCAGTTCCTTTATATCTCATTTCCCCCACCACCTGTCTAAATTTGGAGTCCTTCCGGAGGGACCCTCCCTCCCACCACTCTTCCCTCCTGGCTCCTCCTCCTTTGATCCTTTGGCTCTGGAGGTGACAGGAGGACAGCAGGGCCCCCAGATTTGCCCATGAAAGGTCTGCTGCCTCAGCCTCTCTGGCTCCATGGCCTTTTTTTAGTCCTTGGGCACATTCCTCCCCTCCAAAGGGCTGATGAGCAGATAGTGGGAAGACAGGACCTTCTCGCACCGCCTCTCCCACCCCACCATGGCCCTTACCTCAGTTATTTTTAACCTGAAGGGTGAATTGAACACATGGGTGAGGGTCACCTTCTCCTGCAGGCCAAATGCCTGTCCTCTCCCTCCCAACCATGGGCTTTCCTCCCCTGTTCCCCAGCCTCTCCTTCCCACTCTGACCTGCCCTCACACAGCCCCAGGCTGGGAGCATCTTCCTGCTCTTGGAACCGGAGTCCCCAGTGCTAGGGACTAAAAGCTGGAGTATGGTGCCCAGGGAAGGGATCTGCTGTCCACTTCCATGGCTCAGTTTTCTTTCGTCAGGAACTTCTGTCCTGGCCTCAGTCTGCACAAGTGCCATGCCTGGTCTCCTTCTATTCCCCAAGTCTCCAGACAAGTGTCCTCCCGAGGTCTTGAGGCCACCCTGGTTTGGGGACACATCTGGAGTCCCCACCCCTTCCCTGATGCCCCTGATAAAGTAGCCATCATCCAACCTGCTCAAACAATGGAAGGGATTCTCCTGCCGCCTCAGGCAGATTTTCACACAGAGCCCCAGTTCAGCTCTCTCACATGTAGACGTGACCGTGTCTGTGCCCATCTTCAGCCACACATGCAGATTTTTCACACTTACCCACTCAAGCTTGCAGATTTCTTTTCTACTTTCTTTTGTGTACACGGATGCACACATTTGCACGTCCACATTTGCACACATAGGCTTTTGCCCTCCCCTGCCACTCTCTGCTCCTGGGGTGGGGTGGGCAGAAGCAGATGGTGTTAATCCCAGGGCCTGAGGGAGGGGGGGGGTGGGGGGGGGGCTGCCCCCTTCTGCCTCTCCGGGCTGCCAGAGGGTGCAGGTGCCTGGCAGGCCTGGGGATTTACACCAGCTAGTCCCCAGGCTCCACATTCCATGGGGGTGGGGCTCTGTTGCCTGCCCCCTCCCCAGGCAGAACTTTGATGCCCCCTTCCAAGCCCTCCAGGGCTAATACTCACATGCCCTTCTTTGTGGGTGTCCCCAAGCACCCCAAGTCCTCAAGGCTTTGCTCCCCATCCTCCAATGCTGCCACCTCTCAGAGGCTGTAGGTGTCAGGTCTTCAGCAGGCTGTTCCTGTTATGACTAAGAGTGGACATTGTGTTCAGGAAACAAAGCCAGACTCCCCTGCTCTGGCTTTCCCCCCACCCTCACACCCAGGAACACTCTCCCAGCCCCCCTCCCACCGGTTTACTGTCACCTCTCAATATAGCTCTAGGGTGTGGAGGTGGGTAGGGAGACAGGGGTCAGCTTCTCTGGGCAGGAGCACTTTCCATTGAGATGTGGCCTCTCCCCAAGCTCCGTAGGACGCAGCTGCCCCGTTCCTGGGCTCAGGAACACACCTCTCTCCCCAGGGCATTTGGACCTTTTCTCAGTGTCCTTGGAGGGACCTGAGTTGACCCCACATCCCCATCTCCTGCAGGTGCTTATGCCAAATCATTACCCCCAGGGGATGCAGGCCACCTGTCCCCAGCTCTAGGTTACTCGAGGCCCCAGAATTCGAGCCAGGGGGTTAGCCCATGGCCCAGTGCGTCACTGCTTGGTTCCCATAGCTCTGGGGACATGATAAGGAGCTGAGAACACCAGGTCAGTCTGGGTTGGGTCCAGGTGACAAAGACCAGGCTTTGTCCTCAGGGAACCCTGTGCTCTGAGCAGGCCTCACTTGGTATAGGTGGTGGTGGCAGGGCAGCGGGTAGTGGAGATAGGGGGGGTTAGTCCCCCGCTCTATGGAAGGAGGAGGAAGGAAGGTGTTCACTCAGCCCCAGGCCGTGCCCCTGTCTGCTCTGCTGTACTGTCCCCTCCCTTCCCCAGGCTGCTTCTCTCCCTGGCTCTCACATACTGCTCTCTGTCCTCCCTCAGCTGCCATGAAACAGCTCCTCATTCTGCTGGGAGTCCTGGCGTATGAGGACGGGGATGGAGGCTTTGGCCACACGTGAGGGTGCCAAGGAGGCAGGGCTGGCCTCCCTGGCACAGGTTGCCTCTCTTCTGCCTGGCTCCCCATTGCATCTGTCTCTATGTCTCACCTTCATTCCCTCTGCCTGCTTCCCCATCTCAGAGTGGGGCCTGCCTCCGATTCTCCCTGACCCCTATCTCTGCCCAGCTCAGGGTCTAACATGAGGCTCTGCCTTCTCCAAGCTGGTGTCTCTCGCTCTGGGCCTCCACATCTTGCTCCAGGCTCTTCCTCCTCCTCTCTCCAATCTCCTTGCACCTTCCTGACTCTCCTTGCATTTGCAAGTGACCCAGGATTCTTTCTTTTACTCGGGATCAATGCCCTCAGCTCTTCAAGCTTCTCCCTCCAAGGCTCCCTCTCCTTTCCTCTCTCCCCATCCCCCTCAGCACCCCTCCTTCTCCCTGGCTTGGCTCTCAGTCCTCTCTCAACCCTGCGGCCTGCGTCCAGCCCCTGGCCATTCTCGAAGGATCCGTATCTTTTGCAGTCTCTCTTGCTCTGGTTGCTTAGGTGCCCTGGGTCTCTCTGCATAGCTCCCTTTTCAAGGGTCCTCTCCTTTGTTTCTAGTTGTCTCTTCATTGCTGTTGAAGTCTGTTCCTAGCCAGAGGAATGGCCCTAGGTATCTCGGTCCAAGTCGAGGTCGTGCCACTACACTCCAGCCTGAGCGGCAGAGTGAGTCTCCGTCTCAAAAAAAAAAAAAAAAAAAAAAATTAGAGCTGGAAAAGAATCCTGGAAGTCACAGAGAACTGAATTACTTTGGCCTCTGGGGCTGTGTGGTTCAATTGAGCGGGCTAAATGAAAAGGAAGCATCCTGGTTTGAGGGTGCTGTGTCTGGGTTGGCCTAGGGAGGCAGAATGGAGGCGGCTAGGAGGAGAAAGGTGGTGGCGCCTGTGGATCTTTCTGGAGCTTCCTCATTTCCTGTATCTTTTATCCTTGTCTCTGTTTCCTCTGGCTACCTTGTCCCCTGGTTGCTCAATCTCTTTGTCCACTGCCACCCCCTCAGATCTTTCCTTGTCCCCTCCCTACCCCCTTTTTCTCCTCTGCTGTCGCCTGCTATTGTCCAGTACTGGTTTCTCCTTCTCCAGCATAGGGCCCTTGCCCTGACTGCCACAGTCAGAGCTCAGAGTTCAGAGCCGGGTACAGAGCAGGAGTGGGCACTGAGTTGGTGGGTTGGGGGAGATCCAGTCCAGGGCTGAACCATGGCTTCCCAGGTTCCCAGTGGGGCCGACAGCCCCAGTGCCTCCCAAGCCCCTGCCCTCTGTGGACCACAGTCCCAGGCCCACCTAAGCAACCCAGCTGTGGCAGGAACTCCAAAGGGGCTGAACTTGTTTAGTTGGAGGAGACTTACTCCTTCCTCCACCTCCCGACCTTCTGGGGAGCCATCCCTTCCCTCCCTCTTCCTGGAGTCCTGCTCACACATAACCTTCCCCAGTCCCTCATCTGTCTGCCTGCTCTCAAGAACACTTGCCATAAATGGGCCGAGAGAACCCCATCTTCCCGCAAGCCCAGAGGACAAAGGGCTTGGTAATGGGAATTACAATGGGAAGAAATGAGTGGGAAGAAGGGAGCACCCTGGGCCAAGGGGGCTCGGCCCCGGGAGGAGCTGAGGAGGACTGCAGGTGGGCTGAGAGTGTGTTTCTACCAGCTGTGGTGGGGAGGGGGTGCGCTGGCCTCTGGAGGTGGCTGGAGAGGGTGGTGGCTCTATTTGTAAGGGGATGTGGGCTACAGCTGTGAGTCCTTGTGTACTCTCAGAGACTCGCCTGGGACTGGCATTTAGGCAACCATTGCCTCACCTGGCCCAGTGGTTCACACTTCTGCGGGCTCAGAAAGGGCACTGGCCAGCACCCACACCCTGAACTGCCGCCCCTTGCCCAGCCCCGGGCGTTATCCATGGTGGTGGGTTGGGGGCAAGGTTGATGGAAGCTGGGGTGCAGGTCCACAGTAGATGGGCTCAGGGCGCTCTAGGTGAACTTTAGGGGTCTCCCTAAATCTTTAAATCCCAGCTGGACCGGAGAGAAGGCTGGGAGGAGAGGTGTCACCTCTGCTGCATTTGGCTGGTTTGGAGGAGGTGAAAGGGGGTTTCAGTGCTGCTCCAGGAAGCCCTCCTAGGCCAGGCCTTTGAATTTTCCCCCTCTCCCCTGCATTTCCACCTCCCCTAGTCCAGACCCCACCCCCGGGTCCCCAGGGCAGTGAAGAAGAGTCTGGAGTCAGGATCTTGGCTTCAAGGAAAATTGCTTTATTCTGCTTCCTCCCAAGGAGCTATTACACAGGTTCCAGGATGGGGCTTCGCTGGCACCCCCAGGGCTGAGCAGATCAAGATGTGGCAAAGCTACTCCTCATTCAAGCCCTTTTGAAAGGAAACAACATCCAATCAGTCTTTGGAGAGATGGTATTGGGCAGGGACGGGGCAATGGAAAGAAACGTGAAAGGGGTCTGATGGTGGAGGCCTGCTGTGTGGGCAGGTGGAAGCCCCTGTAGCAGCAGCAGATGTGTTTCTAGAGATCGATGTGCAGGGGGCAAGTTCTGCAGGGTAGGGTTCTGGGGTTGGCCAGAGGGAAGTTGCCTGGGCGAGAACAAGGGGGTTCTCTGGGATGTTCATTTTAGGTTTGAGTTACAAGATTGTAGGACAAAATTAGGTGGGAGGGAACTGGAAACTAGCAGTTGGGGGAAAATTGGGATATACTGGTTGTATATAAATTAGGGTCTTCTAGGATGGCAGACTACCCTAGGGCTGAAATTCCCAGAGCCACTGAAACTTAGAGCTGAGCTGGGAGTGGTGGCTCACATCTGTAATCCCAGTACTTTGGGAGGTTGAGGCAGGTGGATCACAAGGTTAGGAGTTCAAGAACAGCCTGGCCAACATGGTGAAACTGCATCTCTAATAAAATACAAAAATTAGCTAGACATGGTAGCACATGCCTATAATCCCAGCTACTTGGGAGGCCGCAGCAGGAGAACCTGGGAGGCAGAGGTTGCAGTGAGCTGAGATTGTGCCACTGCCCTCCAGCCTGGGCGGCAGAGTGAGACACGGTCTCAAAAAAAAAAAAAAAAAGTTAGAGCTGGGAGAATCTTAGAAATCACACAGGACTGAATTACCAATTACCTTGACCTCTAGGGTTGTGTGGTTCAATTGTGTGGAATAAATGAAAAGGAAGTATCCCTGGTTTGAGGGTGCTGTGTCTGGGTATGCCTGCTGTAGGGGTGACTAGCAAAGCCCAGAGGAGGGACCCACCTTGGTGCCAATGTCGCGGCTCTTGGCCCTCAGCTTGTTGACCTGGGACTCGGCAATGTCCGCCCGCTCCTCCGCCTCATCCAGCTCGTGCTGCACCTTGCGGAACTTGGACAGGTTGGTGTTGGCTTGTTCCTCCTGCAGGAGGTGGGAGCATGAGGTGAGAGGGGGCCTGGGTTCTCTGACCTCTGGCTTGGGGGACGAGCTCTCCTATGCCTCCCCTGGACCTAGTCCCCATCAGGGTCACTCACCGCCTCCTCGGCCTGGCGCTTGTAGGCCTTGACCTTTAACTGCAGCTTGTCCACCAGGTCCTGCAGCCGCAGCAGGTTTTTCCTGTCCTCCTCCGTCTGGGGGCCAGAGGATAGGCAGGGGGTGAAGATGGCACAGTCATAGAAGGTAGCATCCCCTCTGCCCTGCCCTGCTTCATCTGACATCCTGACCCAATTCTACTTTCTGATCCTCACTGAACACTTGAATTCTCCTTATAATTTCTTACCTGATATGTGTAAATATTTTAAATGATCTGTACCAGGAAGAAGTCCAAAGAACTAGTGGGACTCCTGAAACTATGCACAAAATTGTGTGTGTGCAGTGCTCCAGGGAGCAGGTTTTTCAGGGTCCGGGGACCCCATGGAGGATAAATTCCCCTGCTCTGGACCTCAGCATGTGCTGGGAGTGACTTTGGGGCTATGAGTGTGATGGAATTTCCTGGGCTGCAATGCAGATGACACTGACTTAATCTAGGTTAAGGACAAAGTGTGCTTAGAGGGATGGTGACATCCTGGATTGGAAAAGAAACAAATTCTAATTCAGAGTCTGATTCTAGAAAACATCTCGGAAAGCTAGAGTCCACATGCCCTGGGTAATGGAAAAGTTTTGATGCTTGTTTGAATGGGATTGGTGTGTTTTTGGTGTCTGTTGGTGACGCTGGTGAGCTGTGCTAGGTGAGCTTTGTCTGGAATTCTGTGTGTGTCTCCTGGGGATGGGCTGAGGGTGGGTGTTGAGATGGAGCTCAGGCCAGGAGGCTCAGAGACTGACCTCTGAGCTAGGGGACATTCAGGGTGGGGCAGGGCTAGGCAAAGTGAAATGGGGGCTGCATTCCCACCCTCGCCCTGGAAGAGGCTAAGAGCAAACTCTTCATTCTCCTTAGCTGGCTGTCACCGTGGTCATGGTGCCAGGGCTCTGCCTGGAGTCACCGCCCGCCGCACCTGGTAGGTGAGCTCCTTGATGCGCCGCTCGCTCTTCCTCATGCCCTTCACAGACTCCGCATTGCGTTTCTGCTCTGCCTCCAGCTCATTCTCCAGCTCCCGCACCCGCGCTTCCAGCTTCTGCAGCTGCTTCTTGCCGCCCTTGAGGGCGATCTGCTCGGCCTCGTCCAGCCGGTGCTGCAGGTCCTTAATGGTCTGCTCCATGTTCTTCTTCATGCGCTCCAGGTGGGCGCTGGTGTCCTGCTCCTTCTTCAGCTCCTCTGCCATCATGGCGGCCTGTGTGCAGCAGAGAGGTGGCACATGGTCTGGCCAAGTCCTCACACACTCACGCCCCAGCCCACGGAGAGACACATCTGGATCGGGTGGGTGGAGGGGGGCACTCACATCTGTGATGGCCTTCTTGGCTTTCTCCTCAGCATTCCTGCACTCCTGCACTGCCTCCTCCACTTCAGTCTGCAGTTGGGACAGGTCAGCATCCATCTTCTTCTTCTGATTGATGAGGCTGGTGTTCTGGGTTGGGGGAGGGGTGGGCAGAGCATGAAAAGCATTGAGCATCTATGTGTAGCTCTCTGCTTGCTGAGTCCCAGCCTGTACTCCCTTCAGGAATGAGCAGGGGAGCCACTCACCTGGGAATGCAGCAGCTGCACCCGCTCGCTGGTCTCAATCAGCTCCTGCTCTGCCAGCTTCCGAGACCGCTCTGTCTGCTCCACCACGGCACGCAGCTCCTCCAGCTCAGCCTGCAGCAGGTTGTTGCGCCGCTAATCAGGGTGTAGTGCTCCAGGAGCAGGGTTTTTTCAGGTCCGGGGACCCCATGGAGGATAAATTTGCTCTGACCTCTGGGCATGTGCTGGGAGTGACTTTAAAGCAGGAGATGAATTTCTTGGCTGCAATGCAGATGTGACACCACTTAATCTAGTTAAGACAGCGTGCTTAGAGGGATGGGTGACATCCTGGGATTGAAAAGAAACAAATTAATTCAGAGTCTGATTCTAGAAAACACCTTTGAAAAAGCGAGTCCACATGCTCCGTAATGGAAAAGTTGATGCTTTGTTGAATGGGATTGTGTTTTTGGTGTCTGTTGGTGACGCTGGCAGAGCCAAAGTAGGTGAGCTGTCTGAATTCGTGTGTGTCTCCGGGGACGGCTGAGGGTGGGGTGTTGGAGATGGAGTTTCAGATGGGGGAGGCTCAGAGACTGACCTCTGAGCTAGGGGACATTCAGGGTGGGGCAGGGCTGGGGCAAAGTGAAATGGGGCTGATTCCCACCTTTGCCCTGGAAGAGCTAAGAGCAAACTCTTCATTCTCCTTAGCTGGCTGTCACTGTGGTCATGGTGCCAGGGTTTGCCTGAGCTGTCACCGCCCCTCGCCGCACCTGGCAGGAGCCCTTGATGCGCCGTCGCTTTTCCTCATGCTCCCTCTTCACAGATCGCATTGCGTTTCTGCTCTGCCTCCAGTTTGTCTTCCAGCTCTCATGACTGCGCTTCCAGTTTCTGCAAAGTGCTTTGCCGCCCTGAGGGACATGACCTGCCCCGGCCTCTTCGTCCAGCCGGTGCTGCAGGGTCCAATGGCCTGCTCTATGTTCTTCTTCATGCGCTCCAGGTGGGCGCTGGTGTGGTCCTGCCCCTTTTCCTTCAGCTCCTCTGCCACTGGGTGGCGCCTGTGTGCAGCAGAGAGGTGGTGGCCATGGTCTGCCAAGTCCTCACACACTCACGCCCCAGCCCACTGAGAGACAGATCTGGATCGGGTGTGGTGGAGGGGGCACTCACATCTGTGATGGCCTTCTTGGCTTCTCCTCTCAGCATTCCTTGCACCCTGCACTGCCTCCTTCCACTTCAGTCTGTAGTTAGACAGGTCAGCACCATCTCTTCTTCTGATTGATGAGGCTGGTGTTCTGGGTTGGGGGGAGGGTGGCAGAGCATGAAAAGCATTGAGCATCTATGTGTAGCTTCTCTCGCTTGCTGAGTCCTGGCCTGTACTCCCTTCAGAATGAGAGGAGCGCACTTACCTGTGAATGCAGCAGCCAAACCCGCCGCTGGTCTCAATCAGCTCCTGCTCTGCCAGGGGCTTCCGAGACCGCTCCGTCTGCTCCACCACGGCACGCAGCTTCCTCCAGCTCAGCCTGCAGCAGGTTGCTGCGCCGCCCACACGGCGATGTTCTCCTTCAGGTCGCCGGGCAAGGCCGACTGCGCGGCCCAGCTGAATTGGGTAATGAGGATCAGGGAGGAGGCATGAGGGGAGTTAGCTCTCGGTGCTCTTCACTGAGGGTACCTGTCAGAGGTCCCTGCAGTGACTCAGGTCAGGATAGAATCTGGTGCCCGTGTTGAGACACCACTGCTTCTTCAGGCCACGTGAGTGCTGGCCCTCCGTGAGGGACTTCTCCCTGTGTACCTTCAGCAAGCTCTTGCAAGCTCTGACTTGCTTCTGGGCCTCAGCGGCTATGCGGTTAAGTATGGCTGAGCTGGATCATCTCTACTGAGGTCTCCTTCCATCTTCTTCTTCACCCTCAGGGCCTGTTGCAAGGCGTGTCTCTGCATCCAGGAGGTCTGCAGCGGAGTCCACCACCCGCAAGTGGTTGCGCTTGCCTGTTCCATCTCCTTCGCCCTTCTCTGCCAGTTTCCCGCCTCTCAATCTCTGCCTTGATCTGCTGAACCCTAGCTGGCCCGGGAGGATCTTGCTCCTCTCGTGCTCCAGGGAGGCCTGGGAAGGGGTGGGGAGGGGATGCAGGCAGAGAAGCCAGGGCACAGGGCAGGTGGGGATCTGTTCACTAACTGTTGATACAAAGTGAGTTCAAGAGTGGTAAGTGGTTCAGTCAAAGATGCAGGAGGTGGAGGAAAAGAGAATCTGTAGAAAATAAAATAAACCCAAGGAAAGGTGATTCAGGCCTCACAGGGGAGAGCTAGCTATGAACACAAGGAGGAAAAAATGAAGAGAAAGGTGTTGCCAAGGAAACAGAGGCAACGTGTATAGAGAGAAAGAAACAGGTGGCAGAGGTGGGAACCGGGAGGAAATGGGAAACTCGGTTAAGATGGAATGGTAAATGTTTACATGAAGGAGTTCAGTGACTGCCTGTCTATTTACTCCACAAATCATTGAGTGCCTACTATGTGCCAGGCTCTGTCTCAGGCTCTGTGATGGGACAGTGAACAAAAGCAGACAAAGCGTGGGGATGAGAACAGGGACCAGCCTGAAGTCAGCCTGCACCTGCATGCCCTGCACACACACAGGCACGCAGCTCCTCCAGCTCAGCCTGCAGCAGGTTGTTGCGCCGCTCCACAATGGCGATGTTCTCCTTCAGGTCGTCGTTGGCGCGGACTGCGTCGTCCAGCTGAATCTGGGTGTCCTGAGGATCAGGAGAGTGGGCATGAGTGGGGAGTCAGCCTCGGTGCCCTTCACTGAGGGCACCTGTCAGAGGTCCCTGCAGTGACCCAGGGTCAGGAGGAATCTGGTGCCTGTGTTGAGACACCACTGCTTCTTCAGGCCACGTGGAGGCCAGTCTCCTCCGGGTGAGGGGACCTCCTCCCCCTGTGTACCTTCAGCAAGCTCTGCAAGCTCTTGACTTGCTTCTGGGCCTCGACAGCCATGCGGTTGGCGTGGCTGAGCTGGATCTCCATCTCATTGAGGTCTCCTTCCATCTTCTTCTTCACCCTCAGGGCCTCGTTGCGGCTGCGTGTCTCTGCGTCCAGGGAAGTCTGCAGCGAGTCCACCACCCGCTGGTGATTGCGCTTGGCCTGTTCCATCTCCTCGTCCTTCTCTGCCAGCTTCCGCTCGATCTCTGCCTTGATCTGGTTGAACTCTAGCTGGGCCCGGAGGATCTTGCCCTCCTCGTGCTCCAGGGAGGCCTGGGAAGGGGTGGGGCGAGGGCGAGCAGACAGGGCACAGGGCAGGGTTGGGAGAGAGGATGAGAAGATACAGGGTGTCAGCCAGGACTATGGCCCAGAGAAGAAGAGCTGAGAAGAGATGGGGAGGTGGGATCTGCATTCATGCCCCCCATGGTGCTATTGGGGAGAAAGTGCTGGACTCCCTGGGCTTCCTCTGTCAAGGAAAGGGTCTGGACCTCACAATTGCCAGACCCTCTGGCACTAACACTGCGTAAATTCCTGACCTGTCTAAAGTATTATAGAAAAGAGAGGAATTTTTATAACCACAAATTCAAAATTTTATCTTTGTTTTCCAGGTCCCTCACCCTTTCCTGAGAAAAGTTAGAGCCCAGAAAACTCAGGGCTATTCCCAGGTGCATAAAAATGAAGAGTAACAATAGCTAATATATATTAAGTGCTTAAATGTGTTACCTCACTTAATCTTTATAATAATCATGTGTAAAATTGTATGAGGTATGTGCAATTAATTCCATTTTACAGATGAGAAAACTGAGGCAGAGAGTGATTAAAGATTTTGCCCAATGACACAGTGAAAGTCCTCAAGCTGTGTTCCAACTCAGGCCTGTTTGACTCTGGAGCCCACACTCCTACCCACTGTTTAAGTGGTTATTATCATGGCCAGACTCCAACTTTTAAAACCTGGTAAGAAACAAAACCTTTGGCGTCTAATCAGACTGACATTTTCCTTTGTGCAGACCTTGGCTTTGGAGGCAGTAACGGTTAGTGAATAGTGGGTAGATAACGTTGAACAAAGAATATGGAATGAATAGATTTTGTCTTGGGTTCGGGGTCACCTGCAGGTGAGGGAGATGTGGGAGACAGTGGCAGACCAGGGTTGGGGTGCTGGGAGCTCTCGGCCCTCACCTCCGCCTCCTCCAGGGCTGACTGCAGCTCCAGCTTCTCGACCTCCAGCTGTTTGCGGACCTTCTCCAGCTCATGCACATTCTTTCCTCCTTCTCCTAGCTGCTCAGTAAGGTCCGAGATTTCCTCTGGGGACCAGAGGGCCAGAAAGCTCAAAGCCTGTGTTCCCCCTGCCCCCTCATGGCCCTCCCTCCCACCAGCTCATCTCTGGCCTCTCGGGCCCCCAGCACACCCTGAAGGTTCTTGTTCTCCCGCTTGAAGGTCTCCAGATGCTCCAGGGACTCCTCATAGGCGTTCTTGAGCTTGAAGAGCTCTGTGCTGAGGGAGCGAGCCTCCTTCTGTGAGGACTCCAGCTCCGACTGCGACTCCTCATACTTCTGCTTCCACTCGGCCAGGATCTGCCCGGGGACAAGGCTCACTCTTCAGCCCCCCAGCCTCAGCCCCATGTCCAGGGTCTGTCTCAGGACCTGCCTGGGCTCAGCCCTCCTCCCCTGCCTTCAAAGGGGACAGCTCTGGCCTCGCCCTGAACCCCTCACGCCCCCTTGCCCTGCGTGCTGGCTGCAGCCCTCACCCGGGGCCCACCTTGTCGAAGTTCCTCTGCTTCTTGTCCAGGGCTGCAGCAGCAGCATTGGAGCGCTCCACGTCCACCATCAGGTCCTCAATCTCATTCTGTAGCCGGTGCTTGGTCTTCTCCAGTGAGGAGCACTTGGCATTAACAGCCTCCACGGCCTCCTCGGCATCCTGCAGCCGCTGGGCCAGCTTCTTCCTGCCCAGGGGAAGGTGGGAGAGGGTGGGGAGGATGGAGGGTGTGGAGGGGACAAGAAGAAACAATATGAGCCTTCCAGAAGGCAATCCCTGAAAACTCAGAAGTATAGCTGGAGAAGCCTGAGGATAGGTCCCAGGGGCTGAGAATGGCGGGCAGAGGATCCCAGCAGGGTGTGGAGACCAAGGCACCCTTTGACCCTGGGCCAGCCTCTGGGCTGTGGACATGGAGGAAGTATGGGTTTCCTCAGCCCTCCCCACTGCCTTTCCCTGCCACAGTGCCCTGCCCCAGATGGAAGCACTCTGCCCTCAGACAAACCTTTTGTTCGTCTTATATTCGGATCAGAAACATAATTCGAGCAAAAAGCTTCCCTGAGAGGAGAAGGAGGTGGGGCCGGAACAGAGTCCTCCTATGTTGTCAAACACTAGCTAAGCATCTCCTGTGTGGGATCTGCTGAGGCTGGGGCTGGGCCAAGTCCTGCCTGCAACGGGGCCTCAGCCAGAAGTCAGGCTGCTCGGAACTCACTTGGCCTCCTCAAGCTCCTCAGTCCGCTGAATGGCATCCGTCTCATACTTGGTCCTCCACTGGGCCACCTCCGAGTTGGCCTTGGACAGGACGCGCTGCAGCTCAGCCTTGGCCTCCGTCTCCTCCTCATACTGCTCCCGCAGCAGGTCACAGTCATGCCGGGCTGACTGCAGTGCGTGGGCCAGGGCGTTCTTCGCCTGGGGAGGGGTGGGCACCAGGAGGTGGGCTCAGCTTTCTCCATAAAGCAACCCCACCCTTGCCCTTCTCCTCACCCCAATGTCAACATCGTCCCTTGACCTCATCTATGTCCAAACCCCTGGTGGACCTAGCATTGTTTACTGTTTGCTAATAACAAATAATGCCAATATGGCAGTGAACTATTTAAGAAAAGCTTCGTGGCCATTGGCCCTGAGCTTCTCCCCACACCAGACATGGTCATCACCGCTGCCATTTTACCTGGTTGGGGAGAGGGAAACAGGCTCAGAAAGGTTGGGGGACTTCCCCAAGATCACTGAGCTGTAAGAGGCAGGTTAGTATTGAACCCTGGTGTTTTTTAAAACTCATATTCTTTCTCCTTTTTCATGAGACCACCAAAGTGCCAGGAATAGGCTCCAGTTTAATTTCTTTCTCCAGGTTGCAGGTTGCCCTGCGAATCCCAGGACCCATTTGTGCAGTCCTTACATCCCCTTGCTGTGCCTAGGCAAAGCCATCTCATGCCTCCCTAGTTCATTTCCTCTCCTTCTCACACCTTGCCTCCCGCCCAGGGATGCAGTAAAAGCAGAGGGCCTCAGCCTGGGGAGTAGATGGCATGTGGTAGGGTTTGGGCTATGATTTCTTTTTAGAATTCTTGGAGAACAATTGGTCTATAGCCAGCCTTATTCCTGGGAAGGGAAGTGATGTCAATGCAAGGCTAGTCAGTGTGCTCCTTGCTTGGGCCAGGTGGCCGGAGTCTAGCCCTTACCTTAACCTCCTCCTCCAGCTGCCTCTTGAGGTCCTCCAGCTGCTGGGTGTAGGTGAGCTTGCCTCGGGTCAGCTGGGAGATCAGTGCCTCCTTTTCATCCAGCTGCCGGGACAGCTCACCTGGGGAAGTACCATTCTAGATCAGTACTCCTATCCCCACCTCCTCCCCTAACCCTCAGGCCCCATTCTCTGGAGAGACTCTGTGTCTCTGTATGCATGTATTGGCGTGTGCGGGAGGCTGGAGTGGCTCAGGAGGTTGGGCAGACTGTGGTAGGATCCATGGAGACCCTGCTCTAGGCTCACCATTCTCCGTTTGCAGCTTGGCCCGCTGACTGGTGAGGTCATTGACAGAACGCTGGGTCTCCTCCGCCTTGCTCCGATGCTCATTCATCTGGTCTTCCAAGGTCCTGCACATCTTCTCCAGGTTAGCCTGAGAAGGGAAGGAGAGTTATATGATGGATGTTGGGGGTGGAGGGGGATGCAAATGAAGGGAGTGTAAGGGGTGCAACTAAAGGAGAAAGGAAGAGGAAGGTGTGGAAGGAAGGAGGGGATGGGAGAACCAGGCAGAGGAAGGGAAGTGGGAAAATGAACCATGAAGGAAGAGAGAGCACAAGGGGCAGAAAGTGGAGGTGGGAGGAGGAAGTTGGAGGAGGGGAGGCTGAGCAGAGCCTGCCTTGGCCTTGATGATCTGCTCCATGTTGGAGGTGACGTCGTCCAGCTCCAGCTTGAACTCGCTCTTCTCCTTCTCCAGCTTCTGCTTCACCCGCTGCAGGTTGTCGATCTGCTCGCCCAGCTCTGCCACGCTGTCGGCGTGCTTCTTGCGCAGGGCGGCGGCCGTGGCCTCGTGCTGCAGCGTGGCCTCCTCCAGGTCCCGCCGCATCTTCTGGAACTCGGCTTCGCGCTTCTTGTTCATCTCGATCTGCACGGACGTGGCCCCGCCGGCCTCTTCCAGCCGCTCGCTGATCTCCTCCAGCTCCCGGGACAGGTCTGAGCGCAACTTCTCCACCTTAGCCCTGGCGGTGCGCTCCGCCTCCAGCTCCTCCTCCAGCTCCTCGATGCGCGCCTGGGTCAGACACAAAGGGCTCAGATCCACGGCCTGGACCCCTCCACTGGATTCCACCTGGTTCTAAAAGGCTCTCGGCTTCTCTGGAACAGCAAGTCAGTTTAGCTCTTCCAGCAGAGAGGTGGGAATTAAAGGATTTGGGGAAGATGGTTTGAAGAGCGGAGTTAGCCTTCCTTTGGGCGAGGGCCTGACAGTCTACATGCTCTTTATTGGAAGGAAAGTGGTTGAAACTTGCTCTTAAAGATGGACAGAGACCTGTGTTCTGGGGATATTTTAAGCAGTTTAGTCATAAAAAAATAAGAAAAGTTGAAAATGAGAAAGTCATATTTGTCTGACCAGATAACTAAAGACCTAACACAACTTCTGCTCTAGAGTAAGGAAAGTCATGCCATCAGAGTTGAGGAGCCCATAAAAACCTCCATGTAACAGGGGAGGGCATGGAGACCCAGAGATCTGGAGTGGGCTCCCCAAGGTCACCCAACTAAGGCAGAGCTGAGACAGGAAGCCAGGAATTCTGCCCTCCAGGCCTGTGACCTTTTGGGGTGGCTGTGGATCACCTGGCCCCTTTTGGATGTATCCATGGGGACACTGTAATAGCTGCGTGTCTGCCTCCACGGACACATAATCAGTTCCTGTAATGCTGTGAACAGGACACCCTAGAGGAGGGGGCAGGGGAAACAGAACCAGCCCAGGGACTAAGCATCCCGCGAGGGTGTCCAGACCTCACCTGAAGCTCCTTGAGCTTCTTCTGCAGCTGGCTGCCGAGGGCCTGTTCATCCTCAATCCTTGCGTTGAGAGCGTTCAGCTCAAAGTCTTTCCTGTGGGGAAGGAGGGATGGTGACGTAAGGAAGACTCGTGGGGCCTCAGAAAGGTCCACCAGTGGTTGAAAATGGTAATGAAACAGCTAAAGAGTAGGATTTCATTAGAAAAATAGCTTCTGGGGGTGATGTAGGATCCCTGGAGGTGTAACACCTGCGGTAGGATTGAAATCCAACAAGAACGTAATGGGAGGAGGGCTGTAGACAGGGTGATGGGGCCTGGGCTCTACAGGACATTCACATCCTTGGTCCTTGTTTTCTCATCTGTAAAATGAGGGGGTTGGACTAGATTGTTTGAAAGGTCCCTTTTAGCTCTGATGGTCTTTAATTTTGTCACTGTTGCTTTGGGTAACTCAGCTAACCTTTCTGAAAGTCATTTTCCTCTTTGGTAAAGTGAAATTAAAGATACCATCCTTAAAAGATGTTTTGAGAATCAAATAGGGTCATGTATTTATTCATTTATTCAACACATTCTGTGCCTGGGAAGGTATGAAGATTCCTGTGCAAACCCAAACTTGAAGAGGATGTAGATTATGATGATTCTCAAAGCCTTTCGAAGTCCTGAGCCTGAAACACCATAAGACCTTCAATTATCAAATATGTTCTGCAAGCTCACTGTTTACCAAGTCTGGAAAGTCTATACATTTTGGAAGAACTTACACTAAGAATTGAAACCACAAATTAAGCAAAACAAAGAAATGGCCCTGATCCTCTGACTTCTTAAGTGTGAGGGCATTTCTTGGTGCCCTGTGGGCTCTCTGTGAAAAGCCACAAAGGGACTTTCCTAAGAGGCTCTCATGTGGAGCCTTCCTCCATGTCAAGGAACTGGTCTCCAAAGAGAGATGTGTATAAAGGGGGAAGGCCATTATTTTCATTCCCACTGAGTGCCTAATAAGAAGAAAGGACTTAAGGGATATGATGGACTTTTTGCCAGGGAGGACCATCTAACTAACCCTGATATACGGGACTGAGGGAGGAAAGCCCTTGTGTGGGAGGTCTTTTCCCATGGTTTGCAACTCTGCTTGTGGAGGCTGCATGAGGTTGTTGCCTCAGAGGATGGCTGTCTTGTGTCTGCTTGTACTGTTATGGGCTGGGGAGGAGGAAGGACAGCAGGGAGGGAACACAGTACTTTTTCAGTCGCTCATCCAGCTGCTGCTTGTCATTCTCCAGGTCCATGATGCTCTCCTGGGTCAGCTTCAGGTCGCCCTCCAACTTCCGCTTCGCTCGCTCCAGGTCCATGCGCACCTTCTTCTCTTGTTCTAGGGATCCCTCCAGCTGGTAGAGAGAAGGAGCCAGGCCCAGTAGGCAAAGCATCCTGACTTGGTGCTTCTGTTGTTCAGTTGCCCCAGGACTTGGTAAATCTTTGAGTTCAGGACTTGGGAAACCTTCCCCAGAGTGGACCAGATGTTATTAGGGGACTGTGAGATTGCCTAGATATAAGGGATGCTCAATCAATATTTGATAAATAAAGGAATGAATGATTGTGGGATGAAACCCCAAAGCTGTATTCTTTCTTTTTTTCTTTCTTTCTTTCTTTTTTTTTTGAGATGGAGTCTCACTCTGTCACCAGGCTGGAGTGCAGTGGCGTGATCTCGGCTCACTGCAACCTCCGCCTCCCTGGTTCAAGGGATTCTTCTGCCTCAGCCTCCTGAGTAGCTGGAACTACAGGCACGTGCCACCACATCCAGCTAATTTTTGTATTTTTAGTAGAGACGGAGTTTCACCATATTGGCCAAGATGGTCTCGATCTCTTGACCTCATGATCCACCTGCCTTGGCCTCCCAAAGTACTGGAATTACAGGCGTGAGCCACTGCGTCCGGCCGCAGTATTCATTCTTTCAGCATCCTAAAAACACCTACTGGGCACTGGGCTCTGTGCTAAGCACTGCAGTCCCCAAATTGAATAGATCCAAGTTTCTGTCTAAAAGAAGCCTGTAGTCTTATGGCTGAGATAGAAGCTTAAATAATTATAATACAGAGTGATAAGTGAGTCAACAGACATATGTGCATCAGAAGGAACAACGATCAGATTCTACCTTAAATACTGGAATTTCAAAAATTCTTCTTGGAGAGCCTCACAAAATTTCCAAAGAAATATATCATGTTCTTATGAGATGACCTTCTAAATCTTGTGTCAAAGGCAGAGATATCTGGGATTGAACTTAAATTAAATAAGGAAACTCATCTCTATTATTGATCATACCAGTGAGATTAGATACATAATTCAAAATTGATCACCACCTCTGACTTTTCATTCCCCAGCTCCTTTCTAGAAAGGTATCAGGAAAGTTAACATCCTCTAACCCCACCTCCCTTCAAACACACACACGCACGCACACACACACCCCTCTGGGCACAGATGGACATGGCATATCTAGGTCCCACAACTCTCAGTCTACTCACATCATCCACTTGCTGCTCCAGCTTGACTTTGGCCTTAGTCAGGGTGTTGACCTTGTCCTCCTCAGCCTGAAGGTCATCCAGGGCCTGCTGGTGGGCCTCTTGCAGAGCTTTTTTCTCCTTGGTCAGCTTGGCAATGATCTCATCCAGCCCAGCCATCTCCTCTGTCAGGTTTTTCACCTGCCGACCAAGAATCCCATCTCCTTTAGGGTCAAAGGTCACCAGCTTGGTGCCGTCTATGGGGAGCTCCACGTCAAGGTCCATCCTGCTCTCTGGATGCCGAGTGGCTGACCTGGGTCAAGGTCAGTATGGTCTGAGAGTCCTGAGGAGACCTGGGCTGGAGCCAAAGGGAGCTGCCCTTACCTTGTTCTCTGTTGCATGTTTCTCCTTCTCCACTTTGGCCAGTGTCAGCTCCAGATCATCGATGTCCCTTTTGAGCTCTGAGCACTCATCTTCCAGCTTGCGCTTCTTGGCAGTGAGCTCAGCATTCATCTCCTCCTCATCCTCCAGCCTCTCATTCATCTCCTTGACTTTGGCCTCCAGCTGAATCTTGTTTTTGATCAGCTGATCACAGCGCTCCTCAGCATCTGCCAGGTTATCTTGTTCCTGAGAGCGAGGAACAGAGGGGAGGCCGTTCAGGGGGCAAAGTTGTCATTCTTGCAGGTAGAGGGAAGGAGAGGCACATCCCTCAAATAGGACGGGAACTCTAGGATATCCCCAGTTGGCAAGAGCTTCAGAAGTATGGGGAGGGGAGCAGAGAGGAAAGGAACCAGAAGTCTTCATCTGGCCCTCTTCCTCTGGTCTCCTCCCACAAAGGGCAGGAACTGCATTTGCTGACGCCAAGCGCTTATATCTGATGGCTCAATGAAGTGGACAGCTTTCTTCCCTGTCTAGAGGAAACTGAAGCTCAAAGATGATGCATGGTCTGCCCAAGGTCACAAAGTATTAAGCTGTGAATCTAGGTTGAACCCAAGTAGAAAGCCTGTGCTTTTCAAAGTCAGCTCTTTTCCCTCTGCCCTTTCCTCCTCCTGGGGGACCTCTTTGGACGTCTTTAGAAGTGTTGAGCCCAGAGTCCTCTGACTGAAGGAACAAGACAGTGAGCCCCTGTGCAGGGAGGTGCAGGATTGTGGGAGGTGAAGGTGGATCAGGGTGGAAGAACCAACAGTAGCCCAGGAGCCTCACCGCCTGCACTTGGAGCTGCAGGTCATTCTTCTCCTGCAGCAGGGACACCATCTTTTCTTCCAGCTCCTTGCGGCGAGCCTCGGACTTCTCCAGCGCCTCTTTGAGGCGTGCGAACTCCTCCTTCATGGTGGCCATCTCCTTCTCTGTCTCTGCACTCTTCAGCAGCGGCTTGATCTTGAAGTAGAGCTTCATCCAGGGCCAATTCTTGACCCCCATGAAGGCTCGAATGTTCCACTGGATTATCAGCAGGGAGTCTCTGCAGGGGCCCATGAAAGGAGTGCTGAGCCTCTTGCCTCCTTCCTACCTGAGGTCCTGAAACCTTGGGAATGTCCCATTTTCTTCATCCCTCCCACTCTCCCTGAGGCCCTCTGACCCTGTGACTGCGATGTGTTCATGTGAGCCCTTCCTACAGGTCTCTGTTTGAAGACCTGTTGAGCTCTTTTTCCTGACACTGCCCCTGAACCAGCCTGGGCCTCAGAGAAGCGGAAACCTCCTCTTGAGATCTCTCACCTACGTTCCAGCAGCTTCTTGTACTCCATTCTGGAAAGCACACCCCGGGACTGGGCCTGAATACGCGTGATGATGCGGCTCAGCCTCTCGTCCCTCATCTCCTCCAGCAGCCCCAGCAGCCCGGCCTTGAAGAACACCTGCAGGCAAGGTATGTGTTGGGCATGACTAGGGAGTGGTACAAGGGAAAGAGGCAGTGGGGAGTACCTTAGGAAGGGTAACAGCCTAGAAAAGGATTGCAGGGAGGAGGTCAATGGCAGCTGGAGCTGGAGTGAGGGGAGTGGTGCTAGATGTTCTGCTGAGAGGGGTAGCGTACAGGTAAGAGATTTCGCTAAGACGATTATAAAAGGAAAAGCATCATGAGGAGAGGAGTCAATGCACAAGAGATATTTTCCTTTAATTAACTAGTCTCCTTTCCTCACCTTGGTGTGGCCAAACTTGTACTGGTTGTGGTCAATGTCCAGGGAGCCGAGCAGCTTCTCTGCCCCCTTCCTGCTGTCAATGAACTGTCCCTCAGGGATGGCCGCTGGGTTCAGGATGCGATACCTGAGGAGGGAAGTGCCCAGAGTCACCCATGCTCTGCAGTGATCTGCTCTGCCCACAGAATTCCAGGGCCACCTGCAGACTCTCATTCCCACCAGGGCAGCCTGGCTCCCCCATTCTACGAGTTCTGGGGCGCCCTCATACCCACCTCTGCCGGAAGTCCCCGTAGAGGATGCGGTTGGGGAAGCCCTTCCTACAGATGCGGATGCCCTCCAGCACGCCATTGCAGCGCAGCTGGTGCATGACCAGGGGGTTGTCCATCACCCCTGAGGCAGGAGGGAAGTGGGAGGAGTCTGTGAGAACACTGAACTGAAGTTCTGGGTTCCTATCCTGGCTCTGTCACTGATTAGCTTGTAATCTTAGCAAGTCAGGTAGTAATAATCCTTTATTTGTTTCATTTTCTTCTAGCCACATTTTTAACCACAAGGCTTTCACATTCCTTTTTTATATGATTCATACCTATTATCATAGGTGGTAGCCAGAACAGATATATCCCATTTTCTAGATTAGTAAATTAAGCCCAGAGGGGTTATGGGACTGGCCCAAGGCCACTAAGCTGATCAAGAACAGAGCCAGCTTTTGAACTCAGGTCCCTGAGCCTCTGTCTCCTAATCAGCCAAAAATGGATTAACAATTTGAATATGTCTCATTAGGGGATTAAGTAGTTCTGCAGGTAAATTTAAAGTTGAACTAAGATTCTGTGTTGGAACCAGCTATCCAAGGGGTTGTAGGGTCACTGATGAAGTAATGTCCATCAGAGTGCTTTACACATCACCCACATTATACACTCCAAGTGTAAGGCAGCACTGAGAGGGAGGTAGCCTGTGAGGCCTCATGGGGGATTGGGAGAGAAGAACGTGGTTTGGAAACCACTGTGGTGGTAGGTAGGGAGATGCCCTAGGAGGTCCTGTTCCCAGGGTGGTGTATGCCAAGCAGTGGGCTGGCCTGAGTTTGTGGCCTCACCTGGAGACTTTGTCTCATTGGGGATGATGCAACGTACAAAGTGGGGATGGGTGGAGCGCAAGTTTGTCATCAGCTTGTTCAGATTTTCCTGTGGCCAAAAATGCAAGAGAGAAAAGTAAAGAAAATGCAAGAAAGAAATGCAGGAAGGAGAGAGGAGAAGAAGGAAGGAAAAGAGAGATGGAGAGAATTCAAGGAGCCACAGAGATGAAGGGGCCTTGGGGGAAGACACAGATAAGGAGAGAGGGTGGGAGACAGGAAGGAAAGAGGAGAGAAGTGAGATGGGAAGTAAAAAAGTGAAGAGGCCAGGAGATGACAGGAAGAGAAGATGGAGTGAAAATGGTCACGAATGCACCAAGGAGACAGGGAGCGGGAGGAGTAGGGGATGAACAAGGCAGGGAAGGGCCGGGCTAGGTGGAGCTGGCAGATGGGGAGTTGAGCTGGCTGGGGCTGGGTCCCACTCACCCTGTGCAGAGCTGACACAGTCTGAAAGGACGAGCCTTTTTTGGCCTTGCCTTTGCCCTTCTCAATAGCTGCAGGAAGGAGAGTCAACAAAAGAAGCCTCAGTGTGGGGAGGTGAGGGCGTGAGTAAAGAATTACAGCCCTTCTTTACATCCTTGCTGGCATTTGGCCCTTGGGTAAGGGCCTTCAATGTGGCTGCCTCAGTTTCTTCACTAAGTTCCATCCCACTGAGTCTGTAAACCTTGGGGTACAACCTGACATTGAAGTAGTGGGGTGTAGCAAGTGACCTAGCTCAGAATCTTGGCAGAATCCCTGCTCCTCTGTCCTGGGAGCCTCAGTTCCTACTTACGCGCATCAGCTCCAGCATAGTTGGCAAACAGGGAGCTGAGCAGCTTGAGGGAGGACTTCTGATACAAGCCCACTACAGTCTCATTGAGAGGGTCCTTGTTCTTCTGCAGCCAGCCAATGATGTTGTAGTCCACGGTGCCGGCATAGTGGATCAGGGAAAAGTGGGCTTCAGGCTTCCCCTTGATATTGCGTGGCTTCTGGAAGTTGGAGGATTTGCCCAGATGGTTGTCAAACAGCTTGGCCTTGAAGGTCATGTCGGTGGCCTTGGGGAACATGCACTCCTCCTCCAGGATGGACATGATGCCCATGGGCTGCGGAAGCAGGGGAGAGCATCACTGAGTGTCCTTCACTCAGGTGGACATGGATTCTGCTCTATGATCAGGACTTGCTCATGGAGGTGCCCCGCTGGGTGTTAAGGTAGTAGGCTCAGCTCTGAGTACAGTTATCTACTGACTGGCACCTGTTCAAGGTGGAGGATTTTTGTCTGATGACAGAAGGACCTTTGTGAAAGTCTGGGAGTGTGGCTGCTATCAAAACTGTACATATCACCCCACCACCCAGATTCCTGAGATGCTAGGGTTGAAAATAGGTGCACTCTTATGATCTCCCACACTATCCTCACACTTCCTGATCCTTGGATGCATAAGCCAGGCCCAATAAACATGCAGGTGTGGGAGGTCATCATGCAGGTGCCCATCCTCCATGTGTCCACTCTCAAGCCCCTGGGAACTCAGCTGTCCCTGGTGCCACCCTGTCCTCGGTGCTCAGCACAACATAGGCTCTGGAACCAAGGGCTCAGGATCCTTCAGCCCCTTATATTGTCAAGATTATATTCCCCAGAAGGGAGAGGGGCTGCTATTTTGTCTATGGTGTTCATGTTGGGTGCGCAGGGAGAATTCAGGCGGTGAGGCCAAAGAGGCACCTTCTCGATGAGGTCGATGCAGGCCTGCAGGTCCATGCCAAAGTCAATGAATGTCCACTCAATGCCCTCCTTCTTGTACTCCTCCTGCTCCAGCACGAACATGTGGTGGTTGAAGAACTGCTGCAGCTTCTCGTTGGTGAAGTTGATGCAGAGCTGCTCAAAGCTGTTGAACTGCAGGGGGCATGAGGGGTGGGAGCAGTCAGGAAGTGGGTGTGAGTGGCCATTGGGGCTGTGCCCGTGCACTGTGCCTGAGCCCAGCAGGGCGTGGCTGGTCCCCTCCACATCAGGGCAGTGGAGGAGGGCTTCCCCTGAAGACAGGGACAATGACTGCCTCTGTCACTGCACAGTCCCCACTGCCTTCCTGTGTCTGGTCCACAGCTGGCTCTCAGCAAATGGCTGTTGAATGTGGGAGCCAGCGAGTGATTGTTCTCCCTCTCCCAGGGGTCCCAACTCACATCGAAGATCTCGAAGCCAGCGATGTCCAGGACTCCTATGAAGTACTGGCGTGGCTGCTTGGTCTCCAGGGTGGCGTTGATGCGTGTCACCATCCAGTTGAACATCTTCTCATACACTGCCTTGGCCAGTGC